AGACTGAAAGCAAGAAAAACCTGAAAACCAAATACCTTCTGTGGTCAGGAACTCCACTTCCAGAAATCGTCTGAAATATAATTTGTCTAAATTCACTAGTTGTTGGCAGCCCAGAATGACTACCACATAAATAAGTGCAAAGCAATCACTCTCTGTTCATGTAGCAGTTTACAGCTTGAGATGCTTTATAGTATGAAAAACAGGATTTTTTTTAAATTGCAGATTTGGCCTATTGGAAGAGAAATAAACTGCAAATGCTTAAAAACCCTGTCCGTATCTGAAGATCGCAGCATCTCACTGCAGCCCAGACTGCACTTTGATGGTAAATACATAGTGTGCAGTTCAGCTTTAGGATTGTACCAGTGGGACTTTGCCAGCTATGACATTCTCAGGTACATCTTTCAGTTTGAGACTAACTTTGCATGTGAAGCTTTACTGTTGAGGTTTAAAAAACAATCTGGTTCAAAACCACTAAGGTAGACTACAGAGCCATTTGGTGGGACAAGGAAGCGTAAGGACGATCCCTCTCGCGGTACTGTTGGGCTTGAGACGCATCATAAAACATCTCAGAATTTAGTGGAATGACGAAATCAGATGTCCTGCAAACTGCAGGTGAGGGGGTCAGAGAAGATTAAATTCTGTTCTGGCGTTACTCTTAATTGTATGCTCAGTCCCAGAATACCGTTGGCATCCAAAATCATAATTTCCCAAGGATAGGATTTATTATGGAAATACTGACAGACCTCTTTCGAAGGATCCTAGCTCATTCAGCCAGCTGTGTCTCTAACCCAAAAGAAAAGCACAGTTTTGCCTTTGTTACCTGCCTTGGGTAGTTTCACCTCCTAATCTGGCTTCAAATATATCTTTGTGGGACATGTTCAAATAAGAAGGAATGAACCTAGAGCAGGCCTGGATTAAGGCATATTGACAGCTCTTTAGGGAAACTAACTACTTCTTCCTTAGATCATTTTGTCCTTAGACTCCAATTTCCTCTCTCTGTAGATGCATATAGGGGATGAAGTTTCATAATATACAGTGATACCAATTCTGATTTAAACACTGTCTTATCTTTCAGGGTCATCAAACCTCCTGATTTTGCAAACTTGTCCTTGCTGGGCTTTGGAGATATATTTGCCCTATTATTTGATAACAAATACCTGTATATAATGGACTTGAGGACAGAAAAACTGATTAGCCGCTGGCCACTGCCAGAATATAGAAAGTCAAAGAGAGGTTCGAGCTTTTTGGCTGGTGAAATGTCTTGGCTAAATGGACTAGATGGCCAAAATGACATGGGCCTGGTTTTTGCCACCAGTATGCCAGACCACAGTATTCATTTGGTATTGTGGAAAGAACATGGCTGAAGATGTGGCAGGACATTCATGAGTCTGGGACTTGAAGCAGTGTGTCCATGAAAGAAGACTTTGCATGAACCAAAGTTGCACACCTAATGGTATCATCATGCAATGCACAATCACTTATTTTTTGTTTTCTAGGGCATTTGGGAGAGATGGGCTTGTTTTGACATAATACAACACAGCATGCTAACAATATTTGCCAATTAATTTAATCTGTACTCATATTTAAGCATACATATTTGGGTTTTCTTGACAAAGTATAGATTATAAAAGTTTAAATCACTCAGATCTATCATTTAAGTCTAAAATGAAGTGGTGTTTGATCTGAAAGACTTCTGTCCTATATCTTTTGCTGAAACAGAAGGTGAAGCTACTATCTTATACATGTAACATCAAGTGCTAATCACAGTGCTAAAACTGCACCAGTACACAGAATACTCAGTGTAGAACGGCATGATTTCCTCAACTGTCAGCCTCTTCAGGAACTTGGTTTCTCCTTATTGTAGCTTTAAACTCTTAGCAACCTGAAATCAAGGAAGCAGTAAAGTCCTTTCACTACTATCAGAATATTTCTTGATGACAGCGATAGCTTGTTTCGTTTTAAGTAGGGGCCTGTGTTCATGTGATATTCCCTTCCGTTAGCCAGACTGGGGCAAATTCTTAGAGATAAGCAGCATAAATAACTGCAGGATGTGAACATGGAGAATTTGTGGGCTAGTGTTTTTTACGGTTTACGGCTTGAGTAAAGTTGGCACAGAAATAAACAGTCTTTTCCTGCACAGAGTATACAATAAAGCCAACCTGCTAGTTTAATGTGCCATTGCACAGTTATTGAATAAATATTTTGGACCATGTGTTGGTCTTTCCTCAGGGACTGAAACATGGAATATTTATTTGCACAAAATTCTCCAACAGTTCACCCAGTATGGCTTTATTAACATTGCATAACTGTTTTCTAGAATTTGATTGTCAGAGCACAGTTTAATCCATACATTTAGGGAAAACATTAAGGGAAGGGAACTTGTTTAAGACCTAGGCAGCAGGCTTTAGGCTCATACATTGTATGTCAAATGACATCGAAGGGCTGTCCACCATCCAACATAATAATAGTGTGCTAATGAGTACAGAAGTACCTGTTAAATCTGGATTTGAGGATGAAAATTGTGACATTATGAATATACCCGTTTTCGTAAGAGTTCAGGAGTTCTAATAATGAAAGAATAGAACTAAAATAATCCATTGTACTCTTCTCTGACCAGTTTTACTAGGCCTCACTAATGTAGGGGGAGAAGATTTTTAGTAAATATTTTTTAATAGTAGGTATTCAAATATTATGCTGAATCTGACTTTTATATTTAAAAGCTGTATCCATCATTACCTGACTCCTATGCTTTAGAACTGCATTTCTACATTTTGAAAATGAAATTTCCCCTCCATGTCTATTTTTACACCACTTCTAAATATAAGACTGCTTGAAGATTAATGACTCTGTCTTTTCCCTAACACACTTACATGGCTCCGATCAGCATTTCAATGTACATATCCTCACATCACCTGTTTGGTAGGACAGTACAGTCATTCCTTTTTTGCAAATGGGGAAGGGAGGACCAGAGCCTCAAAGGTGTTTAAACACCTCACTCCCATTGATTTCAATCAGGGTTACATACCTACATATCTGTGAGGATCTGGAGCTAATTGACTTGGGAAGTCACAGAAAAAGAGACTTGATCCCAGGTGTTTAAAACCAGAGTCCTAACCCATTCACCCCTTTACAATGGTAATTTTGTTGAGACTGGTTAAAATACACAACTCGATTGCAGATGTAGTGAGGAGTGATGTTCACTTCTTTTTTGGGGACACTTAACATGCTTGTGACTGAAACACGTGGTCAGCTAATCACCACAGCTAATTAAAATGACAATTCACCCATAATTTGTTTCCGCTTAGTCATGGTGTCATATGACATTTTGGAAGACAAAATGGGTCTGTAGTGTATCCTACCTTTTTCCCAACCAAGAAGAAAGCACTCAACTAGAATGGGATGGTGAATTACAAAAGAATTACATTAATGTGCTGTGCTAAGTGAGTGTTAAGGCCAGTGTAAGAGTAGGACCAGTCTCTTAACTTTATGCAGTGTACCTGTTCAAGGGTTATCTTGAATTTAGTTGAGCGACTATATAGATTCTTCATGCACTAGCACAGCCCCACTGACGGATACTTGACTCACTTAGTACTTGGATAAATAGAGAGGGCGTTAGCGTGATACCGCAATATAATTAGTTAGTGCTTTACAGAACAGCTAAGCCATCAGAACTAACCCAAGTCAAACTAAAGGGATACCCTGCTGGTTTGATAGAGGCCTATGTATGACTATTCAATAAGCACATTACGGCTATTGATAACTTGCTACCATTCACTTTAGGCGCTGCTCAAGAACCACCAAAATACAAGGGAGTTGCTTATTATTGCACCAGTTTCTATCCGTCCCTTGCCCTGCGCCCTCCCCTTCCTCCATATGCTATGTGGGCCTACAAGGGTTTGGCTAATTAGTGGTGCAGCACCATGAGCTGAGGATGAAGAAGTCGTCCCCACAGAAACTCACAATGGGGACCTAGCGAAGAGCAGTACAAACAAAACAATAATGCTTATCTGTGCTGTGGATGATTACTTGGATAATGTTTATTTTGATGGAATATATGTAAAACGCTGATTTAGAATCATTTTGAAGAGATCAGCCAGCAAAGAGACAATAAGTATCAAGTAGTTAATTCAGTCATTTACAGTGGGAACCCAAAAGTGTAATATAAAAGTCAAATTATAAATTGCTGAATGAAAACCTAAATGCTACATGGAAATCCTGTATGAGTAAAACCCCTTCTCTAATGGTCCAATACTGCAGTCTGTTCTGTGAAGACAGATTTCTGCAACTCCACAAAAGCTCACTGATAAGGAACTGAATGGATGGAAAGTTTTGCTTGGGCAGATCAGAGTGTGAGACTGCAACCTAAAGTTTCATTTGAGTAAAAGTTATTTATAGACATGAAAAATAACCTGTCTACCACCCTAAGTGGTAGACAGCAGGGAGTCCCCACTACCTACCAATGTTGCCAGAAGTTTCCTCAGTAAGGAGGGCCCTTCTGCATGGGGAACAGATTTGGCTTTTGGTATCTTAGCATACGAAACCACTATCACTATTAATAAAGCATGAATGAACACATTAGTAAACAAGTCAGTGAGAGGGTGTCTGATTTTTTTTTCCTCCCCCCTGTGACAGGTTTTGTCACAGAGATCACCTTGGGACTGTCACCTGATGTGCTAAACTTACTTTTAAGTCCTTTTTCCCTGCCAACTTGGGACTCTAGAACCCAGCCTTGTTGAGCCAGACATGCTAGCCTGCTGCAACAAAGACCAGGGGTCTGGGCTATGCCCCCAAAGCTGCAGGCTTTAACTGAAAACAACTCAGCAGGTTATCTATCTCCAGATACGCAGTTCCCAATGGGATCCAACCCGCAAATAAATCTGTTTTACTCTGTATAAAGCTTATACAGGGTAAACGTATAAATTGTCTGCCCTCTGTAACACTGATTGAGAGATATGCATGGGAGAGGTTTGCTCCCCCAGGTATTAATCACTTACTCTGGGTTCATTAATAAACAAAAGTGCTTTTATTAAGTATAAAAAGTAGGATTTAAGTGATTTCAAGTAATAGAAAAAAGTAAATCACCAAGCAAAAACACAAGTCTAAGCCTAGTACATTAAGAAACTGATTACAGGTAATATCTCCATGACTGGCAGCCTCTTTGTTCTGCTCCACCCCCTTTTTATAGTTTTGCACAAGGCAGGAGTCCTTTGTGCTTGGCCCCACCCCTCCTTCTGAATGGAAAAGTACAAGGATTAAGATGGATTCCAGTATTAGGTGACATGATCACATGGCCTGTGAGACCCCAGCCTCCATTCTTCCTGGGCTGGCCCACAGGTAGGTTTGCAAGTAAACAGAGCCATTTACAGTTCATTGATTCTGAAGCACCCTTAATGGCTTCCACTTAATATGTATTACTGATGTAAACAAGTTTATATCTTATTCTCCTAACTCAAGACATAGAAATAACATATGCAAACAAATAGGATGAACACACTCAGTAGATTATAAGCTTTGTAATGATACTTTACAAGAGACCTTTTGCATAAAGCATATTCCAGTTACATCATATTCACATTCATAAGCATATTTTCATAAAGCATATGGAGTACAACATCACACACACCCCTACCATTCACTGAAAGCTAAGTAAAAGTGTATGTATAAAAAAAAATCAAGTCCTAGTATAGTTCAATTCTTTTCTCCATATGGCCTAGTTAAAAAATTACAGTAGTACAGGTTAACTCATAAAGGAGCAACACAATAGATCTTAACCGATTTACAAAGAACTAGAATCAGCTAATAACTGTTTCTTCATAATAAGATGAAAGATTATGGAAAACTGAGGGCAGTCTCAGCATTCACAGCTCTCTCTCCTCCACCTAGAAACAAAACAGCCTCCTTCCAAGTAACCAGCTAGCACCAACTTTTTCTCCTCAAAAGCTGCCTGTTAGAGCCCCTGCACACAGCTGAGACCAGTTAACATTTTTAGGCACCTAGGGGCAGCTGAAAAAGGCAGCCCTTTTAATGCCATCTGTCATAACCATACAGCTAAGGGTAGCCTAGAATTCCCCCTTACCTGTAAGGGGTTAAGAAGCTCAAATAACCTGGTTGGTACCTAACCAAAAGGACCAATGGGGAAAGAAGAGACTTTCAAATCTTGGGGGAGGCTTTGTTGTGTGTGTTCTCTTGGGAAGCAGAGAAGCATCAGGTCAGAAAACTTCTTCTCCTATAAACCATCCTAAAAGTCTCTCATTACAAAAATTGTAAGTAAAAGTCAGGCAAGATGTGTTCAATTATCTTGTGTTCTGCTTGTGAATTTTTCCTTTGCTGGAGGGAGGTTTATTCCTGTTTTTTGTAACTTTGAAACTAAGCTTCGAGGAACTTCTGCTGTGTTTTTGAATCTTTTGTTACCCTGTAAAGTTATTTTCCATCCTGATTTTTACATAGGTGATTTTTTTTACCCTTTTTTTTTTTTAAATAAAATCCTTCTTTTAAGAACCTGACGGATTTCTCTATTGTCCTAAGACCCAGGGGTTTGGGTCTGTGATCACTTTGTAACCAATTGGTTAGGATATTATTCTCACGCCTCCCCAGGAAAGGGGGTGTAAGGGGTTGGGGGGCATATTTTGGGGGAATAGGAACTCCAAGTGGTCCTTTTCCTGATTCTTTGTTAAATCACTTGGTGGTGGCAGTGTACCCTCCAAGGGCAAACAATTTGTGCCTTGGGGAAGTTTCAACCTAAGCTGGTAGAAACAAGCTTGGGGGGGGTCTTTCATACAGGTTCCCAATCTGTACCCTAGAGTTCAGAGTGGGGAGGGAACCCTGACGCCATCTAAAGTTAAAAAACCAGCACACTCTCTCAAACATCTATTCCATTCCTTTTTACTGCATTTTTGCTTATTCAAACAAAGAACTAAAAATCAGGACAGTCCCGATTTTATCGGGATGTCTGGTCACCCTATGACTGATGCCTAAATCTAGCTCTAGCAGCCACTCTTAAGAAACGTATGTTTTCCCTAGTACCTCAGGTCTTTTGATCACCATGCATTAAGAACATAAGAACGGCCATACTGGGTCAGACCAATGGTCCATCTAGCTCAGAATCCTGTCTTCCAACAGGGGCCAGTGGCGGATGCTTCAGAGGAAATGAACAGAACAGGACAATTGAGATCCATCCCCTGTTGACTGCCAGAAGGTCTGACAGGACAGAGGCTTACGGACACCCAGAGCATAAGGTTGCATCCCTGACCATCTTGGCTAATAGCCACTACTAGACCTATGCCCCATGAATTTATCTAATGCTTTTTTGACCCCCCGTCACAACAGCCCCTGGCAACAAGTTCCACAATTTGAGCCTATTATGGTATTTTTAAAATGTTTTTCCATGCAGCTTGCAGGCATTTCACTATTTAATTACATAATGGTTGCTACTACTCAGTGGTTCAGCTATATTCACTTCTTGGACCAGATCCTGTACTCCTTTTAGGACTAAATCAAGAATTGTCTTTTCCCTTGTGGGTTCCAGGCCCAGCTGCTCCAAGAAGCAGTCATTAATGGTGTCAATAAATTTGATCTCTGCATCCCATCCTGAGATGATATGTTTTCAGTCAATATGGGGATAGTTGAAATCCCCCATTATTATTGGGTTTTCTGTTTATGTAGTCTCTCTCATCTCCCTAAGCATTTCACAGTCACCATCACCATCCTGGGCAGGTGGTTGATAATATATTCCTACTGCAATATTCTTCTTATTCAAGCATGGAATTTCTGATCCTAGAGATTCTATGAGACAGTTTGAATCATTTTAGATTTTTTACTATGTTTGACTCCATGTTTTCTTGCACACATAGCGCCATCTCCCCACCAGCGTAACCTACATGGTCATTCCTATATATTTTGCACTCTATTGTGTCCCGTTGATTATCCTCATTCCACCAAGTTTCTGTGATGCCCATTATATCAATATTTTTATTTAATACCAGCCAGTCAAGTTCACTCATCTTAGTATTTAGAATTCTTGCATATGTATACAAGCACTTATGAAATTTTTAAATTTTTGTCTGCTTCATCTGATGTAACTGAATGGGACTCTTATTTTGTTTGACTGTTTCTCTTCAGTTCCTAACTGTACTTTATCAACTTCTATCCTCTCCTCTTTACTAGGGTAAGCAGAGTCAGGATGAGCTCTCCCCTGACATCTGGTGGTGAGTCATGGTGGGTTGTGGAAAAGAACTTCAGGGGCTGATCTCATTTGCATAGGAACACCCACCCTGCCTAGATGGTCACTTTGGCTGCTGTAGGAGCCCCAGTTTCTCTGTTATTGGGGCAGGAATAAACTGTTATTGTCCTGATTATGTGAATCAAGGATAGTGGAACTGTACTTGGCCTTTTGTTATGATGGAGGGACTCGCCATCAACTAAGCAGCACTCGCTAGGCAAGGGTCATGGGTTCCAAAACCCAGTGAATGACTGGGATTATTTAGTTGAGGATTGGTTCTGCTTTGACCGGGGGGTTGGACTAGATGATCTCCTGAGGTCCCTTCCAACCCTGATATTCTATGAATAGAGAGAGGCTGGGGACAGGTATTAATACTTGGTCGCATGGGCCTCATGATGAGGGCCTTACATGCTAATTGCACTTCCTCCTCTCTCCACTATCAGAGCTAATTTTGATTTCATTAGGAGTCTAGGTACAGGATGCTGAGCTGAATTCACTTTGGGCTAATGGTGCACCAGCACTGAGGCTCACAATCTGAAATCGGCTCACAAGCTGAAATCACAAAAGAGCTAAACTTACGAAGAGCTGAAATCACTGAGTGTTGTGTTAAGTAGTGGGGGAGCCTGAAGATATATGGCAGAGCAGTTTGCGGGACGGTGAGCAGAGCAGCGTGGCTGGTGGAGCAGAGCAGTTTGTTGGATGCCTGGAGCAGCTCATGGGGGTGGTTGGCAGAGCGGAGCCCCATGGAGAGGTGGGGCAATCAGCTTTGGACCACGTAAGGTGCCCCTTAACCTCCCCCCCCCATCTCCACCCAGGTTGGGGGTAAAACTCTGCAGATAAACTTTCGAACTCTGGGGCTGCCCTGACCAGGGACAGAGACTTTTGGGTTATTGGACTTTTGGGACTTTGGGTGATTTTGGGTTGCTGGACTCAAGAACCAAAGGGAAAGGACATGCCCCAATTTGCTTGGGGTGGGTTTTTTGCTCATGGGTTGTGTTATGAATCCTGTTGGTGGTGGTTCACCAACATAATGCCACATTTTTCAGAGGAACAGCCGTGTTAGTCTGTATTCGCAAAAAGAAAAAGAGTACTTGTGGCACCTTAGAGACTAACCAATTTATTTGAGCATGAGCTCATGCTCAAATAAATTGGTTAGTCTCTAAGGTGCCACAAGTACTCCTTTTCATAATGCCACATTGTTTCTCTCTGTTATTAAAAGCCTTTTTGCTACACTCAGACTCTGTGCTTGTGAGAGGGGAAGTATTGCCTCTTGGAGGTGCCCAGCGGGGGTGGTCATATATTTGTCCCAGGTCACTGGGTGGGGACTCGAGCCAGTTTTGCATTGTGTTATTGGAATGGAACCCCTAGATACTGAACCCGGCCCTTGTTGCTGCCAACTCTGATGGGCAGACGGGTTACACTAGGTTGTAAAGTGTTCCCTTTAATAAATCCTCCCCTAAAGGATGTGGCTGTCTGAACCGTGTGCTGCCCTGCACCTGTTGGCTTTCCCCCAGTTCTTAATTTAAAAGCTTCTCAATTATGCTTTTAATTTTAAAATATCAGCAATCTGGTTCTGTTTTGGCTTAGGTAGAGCCCATCCTTCTCATATAGGTTTCTCCTTACTTAAAAGATTCCCCTGTTCCTAATAAACCTAAATCCCCGCCCTCCAAACACCACTGTCTCATCCATGCATTGAGAATCTGCAGTTCTGCCTAACTGTCCCTGTGTGTGGAACTGGAAGCATTTCAGAGAATGCTACCATGGAGGTCCTGAACTTTAACTTATTAGCTAGCAGCCTAAATTAGTCCTCAAGGACTTCTCTCCTACCTTTCCCTAGGTCAGTGGTCACCAACGAGTTGATTGTGATCAACTGGTCGATCCTGGAGACTCTCCCAGTCGATCGTGATCTCCCGCGGCCCAACGCCTCTCCCAGAAGCAGCCAGCAGGGGTCTTCACGCGCTGCTGCTGCCTGCAGGCATCACCCCTGCAGCTCCCATAGCTGGGAACAGAGAGCTGTGGCAAATGGGAGCTGCAGAGCCAGTGCCTGCAGAGAGGGATAGCATGCGGAGCCATGTGCCCCCCACAGGGGCACTTTGGTCCCTTCTGGGAGTGGCATGGTCACGTTGTGCACTACTGGCTGGCAGGGTGTGTGTGTGGGGGTGGCCCGGCTCGTGATGGGGAGGAGGTGCTGATGTGCCTGAGTGGGGCCGGGGCAGGCAAGGAGCCTGCCTTAGCCCCGTTGCGCCACCGATTGGGAGCTGTCCGAGGTAAGTGCCACCTGCTGGGAGCCTGCACCCCAACCCTGAGCCTGCTCCTGAAGCCAGCACCCCATACCCCCTCCTGCACCCCAAGCCTCTGCCCTGAGCCTCCTCCCAGAGCCAAGTATCAGGGGGTAGCTGTGTTAATCTGAATCCAGAAAAACAACAAGGAGTCCGGTGGCACCTTAAAGACTAACATTTATTTGAGCATAAGCTTTCATGGGTAAAAACCCCACTTCTTCAGATGCATGGAGTGAAAATTACAGATGCAGACATAAATATACTGACACATGAAGAGAAGGGAGTTACCTCACAAGTGGAGAACCAGTGCTGACAGGGCCAATTCGACCATAGAATCATAGAATATCAGGGTTGGAAGGGACCCCAGAAGGTCATCTAGTCCAACCCCCTGCTCAAAGCAGGACCAATCCCCAATTAAATCATCCCAGCCAGGGCTTTGTCAAGCCTGACCTTAAAAACTTCTAAGGAAGGAGATTCCACCACCTCCCTAGGTAACGCATTCCAGGTAACGCATCAGAGTGGATGTAGTCCACTCCCAACAATAGATGAGGAGGTGTCAATTGCAGGAGAGCCAAAGCTGCTTCTGTAATGAGCCAGTCCCTATTCAAGCCCAAATTAATGGTGGTAAATTTGCAAATGAATCTTAGTTCTGCTGTTTCTCTTTGAAGTCTGTTTCTGAAGTTTTTTTGTTCAAGCACAGCTACTTTCAAATCTGTTATGGAATGTCCAGGAAGATTGAAGTGTTCTCCCACTGGCTTTTGTACGTTACCATTCCTGATGTCCGATTTGTGTCCATTTATTTTTTTACATAGGGACTGTCTGGTTTGGCCAATGTACATGGCAGAGGGGCATTGCTGGCACATGATGGCATATATCACATTAGTAGACATGCAGGTGAATGAGCCTCTGATGGTGTGGCTGATGTGGTTTGGTCCTCTGATGGTGTCGCTAGAGTAGATATGGGGACAGAGTAGGCAACGAGTTTTGCTACAGGGATAGGTTCCTGTGTTAGTGTTTCTGTGGTGCGGTGTCTAGTTGCTGGTGAGTATTTGCTTCAGGTTGGGGGGCTGTCTGTAAGCAAGGACTGGCCTGTCTCCCAAGGTCTGGGAGAGTGAGGGATCGTTTTCCAGGATAGGTTGTAGATTGTTGATAATGTGCTGGAGAGGTTTTATCTGGGGGCTGTAAGTGATGGCCAGTGGTGTTCTGTTTTCCTTATGGGGCCTGTCCTGTAGAAGGTGATTTCTGGGTACCCGTCTCGCTCTGTCAATCTGTTTATCAAGCATTCTTAAAACTACAATACCCACCTGGGGAAGTGAGGAAACAGGGAAGGGACAGGATAGATCCTGGGTTGCCCTTCAATTCAAAAAGTGTCTTTGGGTGTTAAAAGGTTGGAGACCACTGCCCTAGGTCATTGGTACATGTAGGTACTACAACCCCCAGCTCCTCCTTTGCATGGTACATAACTCAGCCTAGATGTTCTGTGAGGTCTACAACCTTCACGCTCAGCCAGCAATTCGCCAGCAATTTTTCCAGTCATCACAAACCCAACTATCTATTTTTCTTAAAATCAAATCCCTCGTTACTATTCCTGTCGCTTCCTAATAACTTGCCTCAGAGAGGTCTCCTCAGTGCAGGAGGATACCATGATATCATCTATAGAGGATATTGGAAACAGCACTTGGTGGAGACCCAAGTTACAGATAATGTGCAATTAAAAAGTCCCATGCAGACAAGACAACAATCAGTGAACAAGTCTGTTATAAATATAAAGGAAAGGGTAACCACCTTTTGTTATGCCTGCTGCTCTGTCCCCCAGGCAGAGAGACAGAATTTACAGCTGCAATCACCTTTTACAAAATCTTTTAAAATCCTGCTGTGCTTCTGGTTCAAAATGATCTTTGGTTTAAAATGATCCCACCTCTACCACCATGTCAAGGTTTTTTCCCCACTCTGAACTTTAGGGTACAGATGTGGGGACCTCCATGAAAGACCCCCTAAGCTTATTTTTACCAGCTTAGGTTAAAAACTTTCCCAAGGTACAAACTTTGCCTTGTCCTTGAACCGTATGCTGCCACCACCAAGCATTTTAAACAAAGAACAAGGAAACAGCCCACTTGGAGACATCTTCACCCAAAATATCCCCCCAAGCCCTATACCCCCTTTTCTGGGAAAAGCTTGATAAGAATCCTCACCAATTTGTACAGGTGAACACAGACCCAAACCCTTGGATTTTAAGAACAATGAAAAATTAATTAGGTTTTTAAAAGAAGAATTTTAATTAAAGAAAAGGTAAAAGAATCATCTCTGTAAAATTAGGATGGTAATACCTTACAGGGTAATTAGATTTAAAATATAGAGAATCCCTCTAGGCAAAACCTTACATTACAAAAAGACACAAAACCAAAAATATACATTCCATCCAGCACAGCTTATTTTACCAGCCATTAAACAAAAGGAAATCTAACGCATTTCTAGCTAGATTACTTACTAACTTAACAGGAGTTGTGAGGCTGCATTTTTTGTTTTCAGCAAAAGCATTATACAGACAGACCAAACCCTTTGTTCCCCCCCCCCCCCCCAGATCTGAAATAATTTTGTTCCCTTTATTGGCCATTTTGGGTTAGGTGCCAGCGGGGTTACCTTAGCTTTATAACAACATCGGATAAGGATAAATACATTTACCAGTGATCTAAAGCATGTGGGACCTTGTGAAGATCTACAACGACCCATGAAGCTGTGAAAAAGACTCAGATCACTTCAATTTAATTCTCCACTGCAATTAAACTGAGTGAAATATGAGAGCCTAGAGACAGCATCTGAGAAATAGGCAATGTGTGTGTATTTGGTGCAAGCAGCTCATGGCCCTCAGACTGAGTACGGGCTCTGGAGACCAGAGTGGCTGAACTGGCAGAGCTAAGGGAGACAGAGGTACATAGATGACACTTTCTGGGGCACAGTAGAGTGGTCCCATCCCTGGTCTGATAGCCTCTGTGGTGTTAGGGAGGATGAAAGTCCTGGGGAAGGAGAACATCAAGCTGGAGCAGACCTTAGTTGGGACCCTCCTTTCAGAATCTATACATATTGGTAATCCACCCCTTCCCCACCCCCTCATGGTCTCATTTTCCGCACTTAGAACACTGTTTTCTGTAGCACTTTGTTAACATTCATGATTAATGATGAGTTATATCTCCAGATAGTTGTATCCCTAATCAGGGATTCTCTAGGAAGCTTTCCTTGAAGGGCTTCCCGGCAATGATAAATAAGGGCAATATCAATGGGAACATTCACACTGTCTGCATAGGCATGTAGGACAGAGTGGACTGACGTCTGAACCACTTTCCTTGGATCAACTATCATTTTTTTAGGATTAAATACATTTTTTCTGTTAGGCTCTCTGTGAATATGCTGCAGGATGTTAACGCCAGGCACAGCATTCCAGGATGTAATGTTGAATATGTCAGTAGAAGCATATACAGTTTTAGGGAAGACATGGCTCTCAAAGAGGAAAATGCCAGCCCCTGGATTTTGCTCCTGAAGGCCACTCATCATAATTTTCCAGTCTGGGTGTTTCATGGGCAAAATAATTTCATCAATATCATTAAGAAGCACAAACTTGCTCTTGTACATGTTGCGGTAAACACAGTCATTTAGAGCTGTGATTTGTCCATAGTAGCCAATGTCTTTGGTATCCATAGAAAAATGCCATCGAGAAGAAACGTTGAGGTATGAAGTAATTGGCCAGGGAATTATCTCAATGGTTCCTTCTGCAATATAAAATTCCAAGGCTTTCTCCATCAATTGGCTGCAACTGTTCTTATAGATAATAACTTTCTGTGCCCCAAGAATTTTATACATCTCCATGGCCTGTATAAATTGTAAGACATTACTATAATTTCCAAACATGGGAGAGAGACACACAGTGAATTCAATGGGTAAGGTCTCAGGCTTGCGGTTTTTTATTTCAAACCTTGGTAGTTGGTCAATATTTCCTTTAGGTTCCCAACTGATGGATACAAAGTTTGGATCACAGTTTTGAGGTTCTGAACAAAGCAAGTCTGCTGCCCCGTAAGGGAATCCAAATCGATCTGAATGAACATCTATTGCTGCCGTTGATACATATATTTCACCATCAGGCTGGCAGCAGAACCAACAGAAAAGGTCTTTCACTTTTTCATGGTGAACAATCCCAATCACGCGGGTTATTTTGCTTTTTCTATTATCGAAGTATGGGGCAATGATAAAAGTTCTAGTACCTTTTATGGCTGTGATTGTATTGCTGGCAAGTTCTCCTCTACAGAGGTTGCCTTCTTGTGGTGTTATATTTGGTAGGAGAGAGTGCCCCTGTGTCCAAAGATAATATAGAATCATCAAAGTGAAAGCAAAAATGCAAGCAGCAGCTACATAGTATGATTTTCTTTTACAGCATAACATTTCAGACGGATTTAAATGCAGATGCAGTTGAATTTTTTCCAGAACTTCAGACAGACACACCTACAGGAGAAGGAGATCATGAAATGCAGGTCAGACGTGGTATACCATGTCCACTGCTTTGTGTCAGAGAAGGTACTTGTTCTGTTTTTCCCTTTCTGCACAATAGCAATTATCAGTGTTTCAGTTTGCTCTCAGATGGGTCACTGTACATTGTGACTTGTCAAAGGACCTGTTAATTATATTACCTTTAGAATCTAAAGGCTTATGTCTAGCTAAAAAAACTTACCCCAGGAATGTATGGGCCTAACAGCCATTTTAACATATTGGGCAATCACCTCTTTTTAAAACTAATGCTTCTAATTACAAATAATGTATTCCTCTTAAAAACTGGGAAGGGAAAGCTACCTTTCCTCAAGAGTGCCTACCAATCCTTCATCCCACGGTTTTTCTCCTCTTAGCATCTGACATCCACCCCGATGCCCTCTTTCTCCAGTTGCCATAAAAATTCCTTGTTGTACTGAGCCACAGCAGATGACACTGTGGGCTCAGACTGGAGCATAAGCTCTGGGGCCTTCCCCCCTCATGGGGTCCCTGAGCCTGGGTTCCAGCCCTAGTGCAAACATCTATTCCGCAATTAAACAGCTCCTTATCCTTAGCCAAGTCAGCTGGTAAAGGCCAGAAGCAGGTTTTTAATTGCAGTGTAGACTTACGCTCTGTGCTGCAGTTCCTCATCTGTGAAAACTATACTTTTTTACCCCTTGAGGGTTAATACATTAACAATGCAAGCTTAGATACTATGGTACCATACAAGTACCTAAAATAGACACAGTCAATTACATTTAAGCACACACAATGCATCTGTCTTGCACAGGGCAAAAAACAACAAAACCATAAACCTCCGTCTACCTCGAGCTTGCTAGTAGACTTTGCCTCGGCCTGGAGGAGGATCTCCTGGGGCTCAATACATTAGCCACCTCCACACTGTTTTATTGAAACTCACTGGGAATGAGAGCAAATGCAATGCTGAGGCTCCAGCTCATGCAGAATATGACAGCCCCTGCCATGAGACGGGCTACTGGGATCATGTTAGTCTGTGCTCCAGACCCTCCACTGGCTCCCTGTGTGTTTCTGGACTCAGTCCTGATCGTCAAGACCATTACCAAGACAGACATAGTAACATCAACAACCACATCTCTATGCATGACACACAGACATCTATGCTCTCTGGAGGTCAGCAGTGCACAAACTCCACGGATAAGCATTGAGCAGTCTAACTCCCCACCCTCTTGGACAAGCCATAGCTACTGTGACAGACTGTACCCCTATGACCACCCTTTTTACAAGACTGTGATAAATTTTGTACAAAGTATGCTTTGTGAGGTGTCATTTGAAAACTCACAATCTGATAAACATTACTGGCCTGGTAAAATATGTGTGGCAACATTGTTAATGTAAAGTTATGATTTTATTGTGTAACATGTTCAAAGGCAAACCCAAGCCAGTTTTTTAGAGACAAAGACACACTGGCACGCCAGCCAGGTATCAGTCTATAATAGTTTATCTGATTATGCTAGTGCATAGTTAAAGCAGGAAGAAGAGTGTTGGTGAGAACATTACATATTGACAATGGGATAGCTGGAAACTCCTGTGTAAACAGACTGCCTATCACACAAACCTCAGCTGCAGATAATTCTCAAGAGGGGAGAAGGGTATGAGGAGAAACAGTGGCCTCAAAATCACCTCTTCCCCCACCCCCCAATCTCTACTCATGGCAGCTACAGTGCCTGAAAGACACAGGAAGGATTGTACTGGGGGAGCTATGGGCAGCAGGCATAATAGGCCAAGGAAGGCTAAGCTGTATGCTGGGGCTGGCCGGGCGTGGGTGAGGGCTGGCTTCTCAGCCCAGTGCGGCCGGCCCGGCACTCAGGGGAGGGGGTGGCCCAGCATGGCAGGGGAGGGCAGACTGCAGGGCTTCTCCAGTCATGGAGGGTGGGGTCAGGTCTCCTCCTGTTATAGGGGAGCAGGGCCTCAGGAGGAAAGCAGGGGTTCACCCGCTGCCCATGGGGGGAAGGGTCTTGGCTGGGTGGCTTTTCAGACAGTACAGACTGCTGAATGCATATGGTGAGATTAAAACCTTTGTTTTGAATCCATTTAGCTTCCTAAATTAGGTATTAGTTTCCATATTATCTTTTATTTTCTTTGTAAGCAAAATGACTTTATGCCTCATTACTTGTGGTCACTTAAAATCTATCTTTCTTAGTTAATAAACTTGTTTTGTTGTTTTATCTAAACCAGTGTGTTTAGAGTGAAATGCTTGGGAACCTCCATTTGAGATAACAGGGCTGGTGCATCTCATTTTCCATTGCTGAAACAACAGACTTTCTATGAGCTTGTATTGTTCAGAATCATAGAACCATAGAATATCAGGGTTGGAAGGGACCCCAGAAGGTCATCTAGTCCAACCCCCTGCTCGAAGCAGGACCAATTCCCAGTTAAATCATCCCAGCCAGGGCTTTGTCAAGCCTGACCTTAAAAACCTCTAAGGAAGGAGATTCTACCACCTCCCTAGGTAACGCATTCCAGTGTTTCACCACCCTCTTAGTGAAAAAGTTTTTTTCCTAATATCCAATCTAAACCTCCCCTACTGCAACTTGAGACCATTACTCCTCGTTCTGTCATCTGCTACCATTGAGAACAGTCTAGAGCCATCCTCTTTGGAACCCCCTTTCAGGTAGTTGAAAGCAGCTATCAAATCCCCCCTCATTCTTCTCTTCTGCAGGCTAAACAATCCCAGCTCCCTCAGCCTCTCCTCATAAGTCATGTGTTCTAGACCCCTAATCATTTTTGTTGCCCTTCGCTGGACTCTCTCCAATTTATCCACATCCTTCTTGTAGTGTGGGGCCCAAAACTGGACACAGTACTCCAGATGAGGCCTCACCAATGTCGAATAGAGGGGAACGATCACATCCCTCGATCTGCTCGCTATGCCCCTACTTATACAGCCCAAAATGCCATTGGCCTTCTTGGCAACCAGGGCACACTGCTGACTCATATCCAGCTTCTCGTCCACTGTCACCCCTAGGTCCTTTTCCGCAGAACTGCTGCCTAGCCATTCGGTCCCTAGTCTGTAGCGGTGCATTGGGTTCTTCCGTCCTAAGTGCAGGACCCTGCACTTATCCTTATTGAACCTCATCAGATTTCTTTTGGCCCAATCCTCCAATTTGTCTAGGTCCTTCTGTATCCTATCCCTCCCCTCCAGCGTATCTACCACTCCTCCCAGTTTAGTATCATCCGCAAATTTGCTGAGAGTGCAATCCACACCATCCTCCAGATCATTTATGAAGATATTGAACAAAACCGGCCCCAGGACCGATCCTTGGGGCACTCCACCTTGATACCGGCTGTCAACTAGACATGGAGCCATTGATCACTACCCGTTGAACCCGACAATCTAGCCAGCTTTCTACCCACCTTATAGTGCATTCATCCAGCCCATACTTCCTTAACTTGCTGACAAGAATACTGTGGGAGACCGTGTCAAAAGCTTTGCTAAAGTCAAGAAACAATACATCCACTGCTTGGCAAGAGCTGGCCATTACAAGATGCACAGTTTTGGAGACAAGTCTGGGACCGGGAATTTGCTGGTGTTTCCTTGTGTGGAAGTCATGAGTGGCTGGCCAGAGCATTCATGTAATTCAGCTGGGTGTGATTGTAGGACCAGGAGCAGTTTGTTCTCACAGCAATGCAGCATAACAACACCGCATGTTGGAGATTTAAAGAGACACAGATGTTCAGCAGTCTAGATACCCTGGGGAATGACAGTTAAGTTCTCCTCTGCCTTCCCTCTGAGTGCTTCCCCATAGGAGGAGGAGACACTAGGGAGACTGATCTTGTAGTAGAAAGGAAATACAAAGCCAAAAAGACAAATGTATGCCCTTTTACTGCTTTATAAAATGGGCATGGCGGGGGGGGGGGGAGAAGCTTCATAAAGAAGCCAAAACTTATTGTTTCCACTTATGAATTATCTCTTTAAAATCATGGAGCACTATTCAAGATTGCCAAAGACCTTTTTGTACAATCTAGCCAGAAAAGGTGGTGGTGGTGATACTGCTTCCCTCATAACTTTTAGCTCAGTGGTTAGGGCACTTACCCAAATTCAATTCCACCCCCTCCCCCCGCCTTCTCTCTTTTCTCCCCCCTTCCATCTATGGGGGAGAAAAGGTTTTGAACAGGGGTGTTACAGAATATACCTGTGTTCACAACCTACACACTATTGTAATAATGTTTGTACAAAGTATGTCTTGTGAGGTATAATGTATAAACTCAATTTGCTGATCAATCATATCATGGCAAAATGCACATAGAAGTGTTATATGTGAAGTTATAAACAAACTGAAATCATGACTAAAAGTATGTTTTCCTGATAACTTCCTGGGGAGTGGCCAAGCCAGTTCCTCAGAGACAAAGGACAAGCTGACACCTCAGCCAGGTGTAAACAAGGCTGATGGACCATTACCTTCAAAATGGCTATTCTTTGGCAGGAAAGGGGACGGGGCAAAAATCTACATCTTAGCAAAGAAACAACATAGAGTTCCCTTAGAATCCTAGAATATCAGGGTTGGAAGGGACCTCAGAAGGTCATCTAGTCCAACCCCCCTGCTCAAAGCAGGACCAATCCCCAATTTTTGCCCCAGATCCCTAAATGGCCCCCTCAAGGATTGAACTCACAACCCTGGTTTTAGCAGGCCAATGCTCAAACCACTGAACGATCCCTTCCCCCGGTAGCGATCCCTCCCCCCTAGCTGGTAGCTATGCCCCTCGTTTAGAGCGCTGGGAGAGCCGTCTCCCAGTGCTCTGCTGCGACTACACAAGCCACACAGCAGCGCTTTAGTGTTGCTACTGTAGACTAGACCTAATATAGTTTGTTAGTCACCAGTAAACATTTTACCTTTATTTTTCTTGTAATTGTTTCTGACTTTTATGCCTTTTATCTCTTTGTAGTTAAATTTGTTTTATCTAATCCAGTGTATTAAAATGAAAGTGTCCAGGTAACTATTTAA